ATTATTTAGTTGTTGTTTTTTTAAGTTATAGCACTTTCAAAGCATGGTTCTCTATGGAACCTTATGAAAAGGTTCTGCTGTTGTTACAAGCAGAAGAACCCTAATCTGGTTTAGATTACCATTTTTCATAAGAGTGTAAAATAAGAAATGGCACAGTTGAAAGATAGAAATAGAGAGAACAAAATACTGTAGGTGCAGAATTTGCATTGCATAGCTCAGAGACACACTTGAGCACATCATCACACAGAGCAGGCCTTCAGGCTTTATAGCAGACAGTGATATGGAAATAAACCAACGATAAAAGCCATTTTGGAAATATCTGCACTTTGGTATTCTAACAACTAACACAAATTCACAAGCATTTGCTTTCAGACACTGCATATAAACCTGTGAAAATCCCATCATACCACAGACTGTTGCACGTCATGATCACTGCAAACTCCAAGCATTCCAGCATTTCTGAATCAAGCCCGAGGGCAAATACTGTCAACTCAACAAGGCCTGAGAAGAAAACTTTCTCTCGTCCTCCAGGCAAAAGCCTGATAAATGACGTCGAGTAGCAACGGTGTTGGTGTTTTAGCTGATTTATTAAAGTGCAGTCAAACTGTAAAGATGTGATATTACAGCAGGACAAATGAGGACACCTAAACGCTAATATAAGACTATGACTATTCTGAACTTATCTGCCCACTATGAATACAGTGGAGTTTCTTTTTCTCCCACTTTGTCACGCACTCATTCCCTCAAACACGCAGACACCGGAACCAGTCTCTATGACAACCATGTTGCCACAGCTACAGAGTGAGATACTGAAATCAACAGGGACTGACTCACTTCCTCTTGCACCACTGATGTGTCTGTGTGTGTATGTAATGAGTGCACTGACAGGCCATAGCCTCCATAACCTCCAAAAGATCCAAAAATATAAATACAGCAGAGTAGAGACTTCTACACTTAGTATCAAACTTTGCTGTGTCCTCACACCACACATCTTTTGTGATTCTTCAAAATGTGTGACTTGCTGATGAGAGGTGTGTTATTACTTTTCTAAGACAACCAAACTGGACCAAGAAATGATCTAGAATGCCCTTGGAACCACAGCAGCAACATGCTTCAAATTAGGGATGCGCCGATCCGATATTCATATCGGGTATCGGCTCCGATAGTGCCCTTTTTCTCGGATTAACACGAAGCACTTACAATGTGCGCATCCGGTGTGCAGAATGATGCTCTTGAAGCAACACGGCGTCAGGCTGTGACGTCATCATTCTGCACACTGGATGCGCACATTGTAAGCGCTTCGTCCTCATAGACTGTATAAAAACAGTTCGTGCTGCACTGTATTTGTTTTGTCCTATCGTAT